GATAGTGACTATAGATAGATTGTGACTATATAGGATAGATTTTAATAATAAAGTGTTTTGAACATTCAACTGGTGTGACTATATAGTAGAATGTGACTATAACGGGAGTGACTATAGAGGGAGTTGACTGTATTTTTAATACTATCTAACTATAAAGAAATTAAAGTTTCACCTTGCTATTATCAAATAAATTTTTTTTAATAATCTATTGATTAATAGTATTATAAAAACTAAAGTCTTTTTATCATTAATGATCTTTTAAAAAATACTGAAAATTTTTTTATACAGATTTTTAATTCATCTTATCTTTGCTTTTACTTTTTCTTTATTATTATTTAAATTACTATGAATTTAAGAATATTAAAATTGAAAATAGTTTTATTAAAAAAGTAGATTGAATAAAAAAAATCAATAATATTTAATTATTTAATCAATATAATATATAAATAAATAGCTAATATAAACCATTCATATAATCAAATATTTATCAATTCCATTTATGATAACAATTTTTCATATTTATATATTAATTTAAAAGTAAAAGTAAATTTAATTATCTTTATAAATTTATAGTAAAATTTTTTTATTTAATTTTAGTTAAATGATACAAGTGATAAAAATTGGTTTTGTAATTCAGCCAAATCAGGTTTTATTAAGTTTTAAAAAAAGATTTTTTTATATTATTATTATACTAAATGAAAATTTTTTAAAAATTGAAAAAAAATTTTACATATAAAATTTTTGAAAAAAAAAATTAAGTCAAATTGCTGAATTATTGATAAAATTTTTATATTATAATAATCATAAATCAAGTTTATATGGCTTTATAGTTTATTCAACTTGAATTTTTATTTAAAATTAATGTATTTTTTTTATTAAAATAATAAAAATTTAAAGATTAAAAATTAGTACTATTTAATATAAAAAATACTAATTTCTTCATAAATATCAATTTAAAAATTAATATATAGGATCTTTGCAATAGAAAGGTACGAAACTCAAAAAAAATTAAAAATTGAATTAATATTAAATTTGCATTCAGTTTATTTCAGTAAAAAAAACATAATTAGCATATAAAGTAAAATTTAAATTTTTTTTGAGTTTTGTATCTTTCTATTGCAAAGACCCCATATATATTATATATAGTTTTAACTCTTTTAAATAATTTTATTTAAGTAATAAAAGAAGATCCCACCTACTATTAAGATAGGTTACCCTATAGAAGATTTATATATAAAACTTTTTAAAGATTTTGGAAATTTTATGTTACATTGTTATGATTTTTTTTCTTTTTAGTTAATTAACCAACAGAATTTAAACAATTCCTAAGGTAAAGTTTCATCTTTTATATGAATAAATTTCTATCAGTAATATATTTTAGTAATAGATGGAGTCCTAATAAAAGGTATTTTACTTTAATTAAAGTATCAAAATTATATTCTGAAGTTTATATATACTAAATAAATATATATATAAATGTTAATTTTATTTTTCTATAAATATCAATTAAAAATCTTACAAGAATTAAATTACAAGTAGTTTTGATTTTATTAATCAACTATATTTAAATAATAAAAAGCAATTTATTTTGACTAAAATATTAAAATTATGCTTTAAAATTACTAATCAAAAATGTAAAAATTCAGAAATTAAAAGTTAATTCAGTTACAAAAATATATATTACTTTAGAAATAATTATTATGACTTTATAAAAAATTAAATTATACATCTATTAAATAATTTTATTTAATCAAAATACCAAAATTATACTTTAAATTTATAAATAAAAAAAAAATGGTAATTTATTATAAAAAATACAAATACTTTTATAAATATTAATTAAAATCTTATAAAAATAAAATCTAAATGAATTTTACTTTACTAAATAACTTTATTTACTAAGAAGTTATTTTTTTTACTAAAGTAAAAAAATTACATTTAACCAGAAAGGAAATTCTTTTATCTAATATTTATTAGAAATTAGGATTAGACTAAAATTAGATTAAGTTAGGTTTATTTAGTATTACAGTATATTACATTCCATAATTTTTATTTTTGTTAATTAATTTAAATATTTGAAATTTATATTAAAAATCCTATTTGCTACCTCTTATTCATTATGAAAAGAATTTTTTCTCTAATTAAAATTAGAAATTTTCTTGATATAATACATAATAATTTATTAATTTCTTAATTTATATAAGTATAATATATTTAAAATTTAATATTTAACTATTAAATAAATAATCTAATAATAATACATAAAATAATTTGAATATAAAAATAATTTGCATATAATATTTTCAGTAACTATAGTAGTAAAATTATTTTAAATTTAAATTAAATTAATTTAAAATTTTTTTAAGTTTGAAGTGATTTGAAATTTACTTAAAATTGTAAATATATTATATTAAAGTTAATTTTATTTAATAAATTAAATAGTAGTAAATTATTTTTTATAATTAATTTTAATAAAATTACAACTTAACATATAATTTTTATAATTTTTTATAGTCATTTTTATTATAATTATATTCTATTATATATTATATACTTACATCAGCTAGATATGCTAGATATTTAAAATATTTTATTAATAAAATCTATCCTATATAATCACAATCTATTTATAATTACTATCACACTTATTTTTAAAATTTTTATATTAAAAAATATTATCTATAGTTACAAGTTTATAGATGCTCAAATCTAATAAATTTATAATAGTTTTCTTTTTAAATAAACAATAGAAATTTTAAATTGTTTATCAGTAAATTACATATATATTATATACCTAATAATTTACATTTATATTTCTTATATTTTAAAATTCTAATGAAGTTTTTAAAGTTATAATATTTTTTATCAATATAGTAGTAATATTCAGAATTTAGTGGCTATTTTAATATATTAATTCACTCTAAACTTTTAATAATTATATAGCTTTGCTGATATAATAATTTTAAAATAAATTATATATATATATATTACATTTCTAATTATTTTCATAATTGGACTTTTTTAAGATATATATCTAGTAATAAAGTATTTACAAAAGTATTTTTTGCTGTAACTAGTCTATCAGACAATTGCTATTTCTTATAACACCTAGTTTTTGGTACAATAAAGTTGTTCTGATGATTAAGAGTATTATCATTTATAATTGCTTTTTAAGCTTATTTTGCTAATAAAACAGATCTTTTTCTATAATTTTGATAAATTCTTTAGATAAGATGTAACTTACTGCTTGTGATTTTAAAAATCATAATGCACTTCCATTTTGAGTTTAAGCTTTAGAGCATTCATTATCCCAATGATATTTCATCAAGTTCTCAGATTTAATCTCATATACCATTCAATAAAATATGTTTTTTCTGGCTCAAATAGCCATTTGGCCTTTATGGATTCTAGGATGATAATAGGCAGAATTAAACATCTTAGCAAATAAGCAATGTTGGTGGTATATACTAGTTTTCTGCCTGGCTAATATTTCTTGTAATCGAATTCTAGCACTTACTGCCCATGCAACTAAAGACTGGCCTGGCTTCACAACCAATAATGTCTACTCTATTTTGATTAATTTCTCAAGCTTAACTCCAAAACAGTAATACACAGAAGTAAAATATATGTGAAGTGTGCGCCTAATGTAAATACCTAGTCTTTTCCAAAACTCGGATGAGAATTCCGCATAGAACTTTTCCCCTACGAGACTCCTTTTACGTCCAGTTCCCTTATGATTTACTCGCAAATTATCTAAAAAAACGGGATTTTTTTCTCAAGAAAACACGAAAATTATTTGAAATGAGGTGTAGTTACAAATTTAATGACAAAACATCGAGTAATATTTTGCGCTTCATTTTAAATATAATGACTAAGACTCCTAGATCAAAGCTAATGTAATGATGAATGTAATGATAGGTTGCAACGATAACCTGACTAGATGATCATCTCGTGATTGTATCCGTATTACATTACAGTTCATTTTTTCAGATGGACAAGCTTTGTCCGGAATGTATAGTTTTATTTGATAGCATTTACAGGCGTACAAAAAGTTAAAAAATAATTGATATACATCTGTACGCATATATTTCTTGCTTTTTCTGCGCCTTTATCTAAGTAGCCTCTAAGTAAAGAGATCAAACCAAACATTGCTTCCTTGATGAGTTTTCGGTATCCTCTTTGACGTGTTTTAAAACACTTTATTTAGTGTGAAATCGAATTCTGGAAACCATTCTTTTGTATCTTTGATGCAACTTGCTTGTACTTCGATCCAATTAAATGAATACTCTCGATATACTGATTGAATCGCCTTGAATAAAGGCACTATCCTATCCAATAAAACAGTTCAAAGGGCCTTTATTAGTCATGGAAAAACTATTTCAAACAGGGTAAATTAGCCAGTTGTGCTAAAAGGGGCATAGAGACCGTGATAATACACTCACAAGTCATATAAGATTGTTTTGCGGACTTGCTGAAATGGATGGGCTGGAGTTGGATTTAGTGAAGCCGTAATAGCGCTTTCGAACACATCTTTTTCTGACTAGTAGTTAATAAATTTTTTTAATAATATTTGTCATAAGACCTAAAAAGATTTATGTCTACTTACTGATAATATATCTACAAGCCAGGTACGAATTTGTCTCGGAATTATATCAACATGATCTACTATCATGATCGAAAAATGTTTAGCCAAGTGTTGCATAGTATGTTTCAGTTACTTGACGAGGTCTCATAGATGGTGTCTTGGGCTGATGATCTTCCTCAAACTGGGCGATTTAAAATATTTGACAATGACATCATAGATGTATTTGTCTAAATAGGTTTAAGTAAATCAATTCGCCAAGGTTTGAAAATAAGGAAACACACAGTAAATTACCAAATCATCGTCGCTGGGTTGGTATAGACCGAGGAGGTCTTGTTGCTGAATATTAAAAACGTGCTGTTGTTCAGCGGTCGTGCCTTCTAACATGCGCAAGACGCCATCAGCCTTATAGTCATATTAATAATTAGGATCACCATGTTGAAACTTAATACTAAAACCACTGTATTTCTCACTTACCCTTGTGATATTAATTCTACGTTTTTTACTGATCGTTGTCCAGAAATTGAGGACATTCCCAGAAGATCTCTCATTCTTTTATAGAAAGAAAGCAGATATTAGTATAAATTAAATAACCTATTTTTGAAACTACCGTATTATTGACGAACAAAAGTGGACCATAACATAACACGAAGTTTGACAACCAGTTGGGACAAACCCATCCAGTTGTGTTATGGCAATAACGCGAAGTCTATTCAAGAACGCCTGAGGGAAGACGAACTTCACTCTCACCCGCCAAAGCGAATTCAGTTGGCTACTCAGGGTATCACGGACCGGAATGTATTCAAGTCCTTGAACCCAACCATGACTAATCTACTTTAATCGCTAATAAGTAATTTAATACTTAACCTCATACATGCTTTATTATTTGTGAAATAAAAAACGTCTTGACTGATACATAAAATAAAATTTGCGAAATATATCGCTATTACATAATACAGATAGTAAGCTAAATTATTCTGACATGGGGTATACAGTGACATGGAAGTGCTCTGCTTAAGGTTCACAGTAAAAATTTCGGAAATAGAATCAAACGGATGCATTAACTTTTCAATAATGCTTCCGGCTCAAATTTTGAGAGACTCGCAATTTGTGGCTCAGCAAAAAAATCTTCCCAAATGATGATCACCGCTCCGGTTCAACGATCGTCCCTGCGCTAAATCATTGTTAATATCTAACTGACTAAGTTTAATGGTCGGGATTAAAAGTCTGACCATAGAATCTTGGACGAGACACATTGTTACCATATGTAACTGAGTCATCCTCAGTATTATGATTCAGAATACTCTGAAACAGGGACGAAACCAATGGTGAGATTCAGATCAAGATTGTCCATAACCTTGAAAAACTTGGTTATTATGACCTCCCCATCTGAATTAATTGTGGTGAAATTAGAGAATAATAATTCGTAGAATGTATATAATGAAAGAGACAGTATATTAATGCCATTTCTTGCATAATATTGACATTTCTCTTTATTAGTTTCCAATATCTTTATTGATCCTATATTCCAATCCATTTAGCCATACATTTCCTAAAAGCAGACTTGTCAACAACTACAAAAGTTTCTGTATCTATTCCCAAATATAAAGGGATTCTAACTCATCAAAGATATTTGGCAAAGTGACAGAAACTTTTTCTCTATCAAAGCCATCCTTTTACCATCACTTTCTTTCCAGCATTTGCATTAATTCCAGTTTTTGCATTAATTCCAGTCTTTGTATTGTAGAAAATTCAGATTTTCCTTTTCTAGAAATATATAAATCTATTTTTTTAACAAGTGTCTTACTAATACTATTATAATAGGATTTGGGATCAATTAATGTTTTAACAGTTACTTTATTATTAACAAATGTACAGTCCCATTATTGATCTTTAGTGAATTTCTCAAATTACTTTATCTTTCCATATATTATTTATACTGTAATATTTTTAAAATCCTGTATTGAAAGATTTTTTTAAAATAATGGTATTAATTTAGTAATTAGCTGATTAAGTAAATTTGATATATCATATAGATGTATTTTTGGAATAGTCTTATTAGTCTGTTGTAGATAATATATTTTAAAATTAACATATAGTTCAAATTATTAATAATATCTTAAAACTATACAAATAATACTTTTTTTATATAGTTAATCATACTAATTTGAAATATATATTAATTTAGTTATAATAAATTTAACCAATTGATTTAGATAAGAGATGTGTCAATAACATATTAAATTATTAAATCTAATTAATTGTTCTAGATAGAAGAATGTGTCAAATTCCAAAAATATGCTTATATGTATATTATATGGTTAGGGGATTTTTCAATTAAAAAATAAATTAAATTATTATATAGATCTATTTATGCATTATGGCAATTATGGCACATTTGAATCTGAACTAATAATTACTATTTCAGAATGGCCTTAATCTAATTAAAAACTAATATATAAAATTCTAATTATCAATAAAATACCAATTATTAATATAATTTTTATATGCAGATATAATATTAATTTCTAATTCTTTTTTCTTTTCTATTGAACTAAATATTTTAACTGTTATATCAGATTTAATCTATATAATATATATGCTGTTTTTTATTTAATTTTTAGATAATAATCTATAAATAAATATTAATTTAAACTATTTTAAAACTTACTTTTTTTAAATTTTGAATCAAAAAGATTTTTTAAAATAGATGATATTAATCTGTTAGAAATTAATTAAATAAATTAATATATTTTATATAATTAAAGAATTTTTCCATCAAAAAAAAAAAGTTTAATTATTATACAAAATAATTACTACTTTAGATTAGCATTAATTAAGCAAAAAAAAATCTGATTAATGATTATTATTTTAGATTATAGCCAGTAAATTTGTATTACTATTCTTAGTTTAAAATAATAATTTTTAAAATTAGAATATTAAATTTATTCAGATTTAAAGCTAAAATCTTCTGAGTTTTCTAAGTTTATATTATTTATAGTATAATTTTTCCTGCATTTAAATGGCTAATTTTATTTCTTAATGCAATTTTATAAAAATTAAAATACTAAAAAATTGAATTTAAATTACTATAAACTTTAAAGATATACTTACTTTTTATTTTTCTTAATATTTTAAATATAATTTATAAAACTTCAGAATTTACTAAATATTCTAATATTGTATTTTTTATTTTTACTAAAGGTTAAAATTACTTAATTTTTTAATCTTTAGTATAACATTTTAATAAATTCAAATATACAATATTCTTACATGTTTTAAATTTTTTTTCACAGAAAAAAATAAATGAAGTTCTGAATTATTATTTTTTTGTTTTATTTTTTTTTATAATTTATGTAATATTAAGGATAATCGTCTTTATATTATGCTAGTGAATTTAAGAAATTTTGTTTATAATAAATAATTTAAAGAATAGATAATTTTGCAGATCTTATATATAATATTATTATTATATTTGATTGAAATAAAATAGAATAAAAAGAAATTAAAAAAATTAAAATAAAGTATTTATATATTATAAATATAATTAAAGGAGTTATTAATATCAAACAATTTAATAATGTTAAATATATATAATGGATTATAATGAAGAATAAAATTATATAATATATAATTTAAAATATGAATTTGAAGATGATGGAATTGAAATGAAAAATTATAGAATATATAATTTAAAAAATATAAAGATTATAATTTATATAAAAAAAAATAATAAGAAGAAAATAAAATATTAGTTAATAATATTAATTCAAATAAAAGAAATAGGAAATAAATAAAAAGATTATTTGTAAATAATAATAGAATAATATTATTATTATAAGAAGAATTATATTATAAAAACTAATTTAATCATAAATTTTTAGAATTCAAATCTTTATAAAAATAAAATGTGTTAAATTTATAAAAATTAAATAAAATAATACTTTTATAAATATTTATTACATTTAAGAAAATGGCTAGAAATAACATCATTTCCTAAAGGAAAAGGGGTTAAAACTATAATGATATTACATATCTTCCATTTTTAGACACTTGTAATTAATATAATTCTAGCCAAAATTATATTTTAATTTTACATTTCCTAAAATAAATGATAATATAAGGAGGGAGGAAAGTCAAAAATTCCAAAATTTAAATTAAATCATTTCTGGCCATCCCTTAAATACAAATATAAAACAAATTTAATATATTTTATTTTTACAGAAAATGTACCATATAAATCAATTTGGATGAAAGATAATAGTAAATTTTATTATAAAAATTAAGATAACCAGAAAAAAAATATATATATATATATTAAATAACAATAATTATATAATATCTAATATTGTAAAAGATATAAAAAATGCAGAAACAAATATTACTTTTAAATAATTAATTAGAAAAAATGAAAAATATATAGAGAATTAAAAAATGAATAATTAGTAAAATATACAAATTGATTACACTTAACCCAAAAGAAAATAAATCAAAAAAAATGAAAAATTACAGTAATTAGAATAATATTTGAAATAAAAAATTGAAAAGTAGAAGTAATAATTAATACAAAAATAACAATAAGTATAATAGATTAATAGATAAATTAAAAAAGAAATTGGAAATTTAAGTAGAAAATTATGAAAATTATAATAATATATTATTATATTTTCTTTACAATAACAACTAATTGATGCTATAATAACAGATTTTTATATTACTAAAATTTAAAAAGCTTTTTGTAAAAAAAAAGAATAAAAAATTGGAGTATTGCTAAATATCACCGCTGGTGATTGTCACCCTGCCAAGATTAGGATAGAATTTTGGGCAGAATTAAAAATGGCATGAAACTCCGCCCATTAATATTTGCTAATGCTGGTGCGGTGAAAATCACCTGCGGTGAGATTTAGCAATGCCCTTCTTAATAATCTTGAAAGGCAGTGTTAAAACAATAAAAGTTAATACAAGTTGATAAGGATATATTTATAAACTATTATTTAAATTAAAGATTTTTACTTCAAATCACCGGGGGGTGATCATTACCGTTGGCCAGAATTATCAATTTTTACCAGCACTATTTTTATTTTAAATTAAATTACAGTCAAAACTTAATATAATGTTTACTAAAAAAAAAATCACTTTATTAAATTTATGTTTCATATAATTATTTTTATATAAAATAATGAAATTTGTTATTTGTAGTCATTATATTGAGTTTTAATAATATAATAGTTTGTAATATATGCAATTATTATTGTTAACAAAAGAATTTGTGAAACATGCAAATATCTTTACTTTAAACTATATCCACACACCCAACCATTAAAGTTAAATAATAGAAGGCCAAGCGGTGCTATGCTACGTAAAAGAAATATTATTTTCGCGCACTAACTGAAATTGTATTTAAAATTGGGATATATAGAATAATATTTCGCTTATAAAATTATTCACCCAAAAGAAAAATATTATCTCGCACTACATAATGATAATATATACTACAAAACAATAAAGCGAAAAAACTAAATAAATTAAATAAAATAAAAACATAAAATTTTCTATCACTAAAATAAATAAAATTATCAAACAATAAATCCATTAACGACATAATCAATCGGATTAAAAATTGTATTGCTTTAGTCAAATATTATACATAACCTTATTTTAATAACCCAATTGAAATATACATTCTTGGGAATGTACAGGTCCATTTAAGGAAAACCGCCTTGACATAATCTAAACGGCTGTAATGTGATGTTGGAATATTGTCTTGATTATCGAGACCCTAACATGGTATATCAGTATTTGTTTTTTGTGTAGGTTGATTACTTCCCGTGCATTTATCATTGTTTGCTGTATAACACCAATATTTGTTATGATGGGAGATATTATGCTGTCTTTCTCTTGGCACATCGAACGGGAAATGTTTCTAAATTTCATAATAAGCGTAGTAACATACTCGTGATAATGTGACGGGAATAAAAAGGAAGTAACATTTATGATCATGTGAAGTGACATGAATTGGTAAAATGAATAAATGATGCCGTATTTAGTTGATGATGAAATCCAATTGGCATTAGTTAGATGAATCCTTGTCAACTGCTTCGTTAAGTAACTCTCTGGTTTTGCATTTGATGTTATGGTAATATATATATATATATTGTTTCCTCAAAATTTCCAAATTATTATTACTTATAATTATGACATGCTTGCTTATATTCCAAGCACATAAATATATGCTGTTAATCTTCTTCTATTTGTTGATAGCAGGAAGTGCAGTCTAGATGACGATACAGATTTTTGTAACATTACTTAGTAATTCGTACTAAAGGAAGCATCCTATAGTTTAACACCGAAAACCATAAAGTTGAGTGCATGCCTTTGAGAAGTTCAAAAGGGAATATTTAACAATTAAAACATTCCAGTTTGTCTTATTCATTTATAGATTAAAAGCTTCATAATAAGACCCATTCTGCAGTGTTTAGAGTACTGAACTCGGAATTTGTAAACTTTCGGAGGTTTCTGTTATAATAATTTCAGTTGTTTATTAATTATTAAAAAATTCTGAATGCTTTTTTGTATATAATAAATAAATAATTTAACTATTTATTAATTAAATTTAATGGTAATACCCTCGTCGGAGTCTTTAATTTTTTAAATGCTCATCATTACAACATTTTTTGGGGGAATATATTGAATCACGTGGATTAAACTCATCCACGTGACTTTTGGCTGGCATTTATCGCATTTTTAAGAATTTTTAATTGTTTTGATAGAAAACGTTGCGAAACTGTGTTTTTTTTTTATTAATAATTTCATTAACTATAATAAAGATGTGACGAATCGGATTTCACCTACTGAAAAAAATTCGTCCCTGAATACTTATGACAATGTGACACGGGTAACAAATATTTTAATATGAATCTTTAATGAATGAGTGGGTAATGAAACTTGTACAGGGAATGAATTATATTTATTAAAGAACACACAAATTTTTTATATGTAAAAGAATTTTTGGTAGTTATCATCGTAAAGCTACATACTTAATAAACCAAAGCTACTTGTAACACATGACATTTAACCAATTAAATACGTCAAATATCCCAGAATCAGAGAATCAGCCAATTAAAATCTTTTATAATCTTATAGCGGGATTTGACTTAAAGGGTTCGTTGTTAATGAGATGTTGACTGTAATGCTATTACGCCAAACAATTAGATATAGGAAATTTATGGTATTAATAGTGTGTCACAAATAATAACAATAATAATTTAAAAGAAACTATTATTTGATTTAAGTTTCATTTTATTTAATTCGAAAAACCTTAATTGATTGACAATCTTTACAAAAATGAAGAATCCTATTTATGGTAAATTTAAATGATTTTTAAAAGAAAACTAAGTTTATGGTAAATAATAAGATAAAAAAGAAAAACAGCACCATATCTACGATAGGGGAGATCAACATATATCATTTCTTAATAGAAAATTCACTGTAAGATCGATCGGGAAATAAATGATAAAACAACGCGATCTGATAAATCTATTGGTTTATAAATATGTATTACAAAATTTACAAAATAATTAGGTTTGAATCGTGTATAGTAATAAAGACGTCTCTATGAATTACCGAATATATTACAAATTCTTTGTTTTCCTTGTTAATAATGACCGATAATAATAATAATAACTAATAATAATAATAACGATGATAATAATAATAATAATATTATTATTATTATTATTAATTATTATTATTATTATCAAATTTAAGTTTTTTAACATGATGGAAATGGGTTCATTAAAATGAGTGATACAATAATTAATAATTCACGAGATGTTTTTTTTGCATTTGACAAGATTAGATAATCGGGATTTATGTCCGAACCGGTTTTGTTTCTTGTTACAATACTTAACAATACTTACAAATACTTACATATCGGAAGAATTCCCACAAATTAAGGAAAATATTCAGAGATGTACTAAAAAAAAATAGGACTTTCATGACGTTAAGACGTTAAGTAAGCAGAAAACCCGAGTCTAAATATGGTTAGTAATAGAAGAGATTAGATATTTTTGTATCACAAAACAAGCAGTAAAACACAAATATTATTTAAACATACACGGGCCAAACTTAAAAAAAAGTATAATTTGACACTTTTTAAAGTTCAAGTATGCGTCAGGATTCGAAAGATAAACAGGTTTGAATTTCAAATTCTTTTTATCACTAATTTCCGTAAATTGATTACATATTTGGAAACAAATACATTATTATTATTATAAATATTTTATATGTTCACCTTTTCTATTTTATATTTTACGTTTAAAAATAAATATAATAAATAGAAATTTTATTTAATTTGAACTTTAAAAATATCAAATATTTCATAAATTTTATTTATCAACACAAAGAAAAATTTAATAATCACGTATATACTGTAAGTCAGATGTATATACTGTATATTGATTTATACATACACAAATCATATTACTAATTAATATATAATAACGTATTTTTATACCCCATGTATAATACTGTAATATTATAATATCCCCTTTTTTACTTGAAAAAAAAGTTACAATTTCTATTAATCTTATTATTTAGAGAATCTTGAAATTTAAACAAAATTTAATTATAAAAATTCGAGTTATAGACATTGTAGTACAACTGTACAAGGTCAACCCATGAAATACCCGATAGTCCCGGTACTATTTACGATAATCCGAGATAAGTATTTACATATACAGTATTTTTTATATATTTTATATATTTATTTTATTGATCTTTTTAAATATTTATAATATCAAGTTTTATCATGGTTCGAAATACGTTACACGGTTCGAAAATACGAATTTTTTTACAAGTAATTTTATAATTGTTAATTATTAACCTACTTCAATAAGTTAATTTCATGGGAAGTTTGCAAAATAACTAAACGTCATTACAACGAGATAGCTATTATAACTACTATTAATACACATGAAAGATAAACATTAAGTCATATTTGTATAATACACATAAAACATTTATTATGAAGAAATGTCATCACCCAAACTAAAATTATTTTGAGAGATTCGGATAGACGGGTAAATAATTAACCGCTCAATTTCGTTATATATCTATATATATATGTGTGTGAAATCCTCATGAACAAATCCGTAAATGGATAACAAATTTAGATTGATGTGATTTTTCACATGTTTCCCAAATTAATGGCAAATATACACCCAAAACCCGTAATTGGCCTAGAAAATGATTTACATGTATAAATAAAAATCGAGAAAAAAAAACGAAAAAAAAAAAAAAAATTGATAAATTTTTTTTTTTTTTCATTTTTTTTTTATTCTTTTGATAATTCAAATGATGTCGGATTCACAAATCCCATTATCGATGTCGATTCCATCCCAACCACCATCTTCTATGCCGATACTAACATCATTACCTATTCCACCGTTAATTTCTATGCCGACGCCATCAATACCAAATACAGACGTGAAAGATATTGCTAGATTTATTTATTTAAATTTATATTCAAATAAAAAAGAGAATCAAAAGAAGGCTATTAAAACTTTTTATGATGTTAATGCTGGTATGTGAAATAGAATATTAAGTATAGTAATTTTAATTATTTAAAATTTATCTAACCCTTTTTCTTTTTCTTTTTTTTTTTAGTTTTTGAGGATCCAATTTTAATTGTTGAATCACATGATAAAATAATCAATCAATTTCTCTTACTATCTAGCTTACTTTCAATAATACCAGACATACAATCAATCACTGATAGTGAAATAGCAGGAAATCATCATTTAGTTTGTATTGATTCCATAATTAAATTTCAATCTCCCCTTCTTTTTCCTTGTTTACGTCTTCCTTGTTTACGTTTGATATTTGGTAAGAATAACAAATTTAGTGAAATTACTATGCGTATATTAACAAGATTAGAATTTAACGAGCAACAAAAGATTGTCAGACACGAAGATATTTGGAGTTTAAAGGATTTAGTAGAATCATTACCAATCGTTGGATTTTTGTATGCAGATGTTGCAAGGAAATTCAATGCTATGGTTACCGGGTGTGCAGTTATTGCTGCTAAAGAGGTAGCACACGCTTTGGAAGAATGGAACATTTGAATTTTTTTTTGTGACACATATCATTTATAATTAAAATTCGATTTTTTATTATATTTTAATTTAATAAATAAAGTATTAAATGTTTCAAGAGAAAGAATCAATTGGTTGTTACCCCTTTTTTTTGATACCGGCATATCCCGATCATTAATTCGCTGTGTAATTAAATATACAATAGAATTCTCAAACAATTCATCTAAAAATATGGTTTCGATACCGGGTACTGTCGTAAAAAGATGCAGGTTTCTTAATTTGAAATTATCATGAGTAAATGGATAAACCTAATTATAAATATATATTTACTGTAAAACTTATAGCATTTATATATATTAATTTACTTTTTTATAATAACACGAAAAAAATGGGAAAACATTGAAAAAAAAGTTTAATCTAAACATGAAAATTAAAGTTTTCTATTTTATAATACAAGAACAAGAAAATCTTATTGGTATTATTTATTTATTAATTATTAGTTTTTTTTTTTTTTTTCAGCAGTCGTGAATTCTTATGCCTACAAGTTGTGTAATAAACTTAGATAAAGTTAAGTGTATATTTTTTACAAAAAAGGATTATCATTTCAATATATTATTTTTACCTGTTCTAAGGTTTTGCTTAGAGAGTTTGGAATAAAGTTTTAAAGTAGATTTTTTGATTTTAAATATAAATAAATAAATAAAAATATATATATATATATATATATATATATATAAACCAGCTTTGCAGATCATTTCCAAAATAAACTTACGAGAAAAAAAAAAAGATTGATATTTAAAATCATCATTATCACTCTTAAATAAATTCTAATAATGACCTTTAAAATAATAGTTACATCTCTCAAATGAAAATTTTTGTTGTTTCACAAGAAATTTTTCCCTTTTTTGTATATGACAAAAAATAGAGGTTAATCAATTAGTGTTACAAAATTACCTTAAATTACGTTAGGAATATCTAGTACCATCTAGACGATCTAGACTCCAATTTTTCAATTGAAAAATATATGGTAATGCATATTTAATACATTTACCGGAAACATATCCTATAAATCCTATAAATCCAGTTTTATCAATGATATTTACAGCTAAGCCACAAATCTTTGGGCCGAATATCTGTCACGTTTCCATCCAATAACGATTAATATGATTTTAAAAGTGTAAAGTGGTCCCCTAAATGGTTCCATAGTTTAAAGTGTAACATTATATACCTTTATTATAATAAGAAATTATGTGGTTTCATTCTATCGTAATTGAAAAAAAATGAACTTACTAAATTTCGTAAAGTAATATATATAAATAAATATATTTATTTATTTATATATATTGATAATTCCTATTATTAACTAAATTTGGAATCTTGAATCTTGTGATTGAATATATTTTGTAGAAAAAGTAAAAATGTCCCCTGCAAGAACATTACGAGGGAGACCAGCAAGCAAAGCTTATAACAAAATTGTTGTCCAAATTTGCGATTCTTTTTTGTGAGAGAGCGATTGGAAGCGCGTTTTATATTCAAGTATATACTGTAAGTGAATAAATTTAATGAATTATTAATTAGTACATAATCGATCCAAGAGTAAAATATTGCGAAAAAATAATATTTATTGTACAACAAAACAATTATGCAAATATTAACAATATTATTGTAAATATTATTCATATTGAAATATTGAGATCACGCCATGCCATAATTCGTTAACTCTTCGCATAATGAATTCTTTGTACAAAATCTAAGTTTAATAATCAAGGCCGAGTTTTTCCGTCTGTTTAAGAAATTTTCAATCATTTTTTTCCCATTTTTTGTTTTCATCTTTTTTGAATTAAATTTTGAACAAACAAAAATCTGTAAATAAACGCGTTTTTAAGGAATTTGGCCAACCAATGAAAAAATTTTTTTTTTTATACAATTTAATTTACTTTCTTTTAATTTAATTAATTATTTACTTATATATAAGCCCTTCATGTTTTCTATGTTCTGCTTAATACTCATTAACAAATAAGTTTTGGTCCGGCGAGTCGAGTAAGTTTCATGAAAATCATTAAATTTATAATTAAGTATGGACATGAATTCAAGTCATACTAAACATGAATTCCATTTCCTTGCAGTTGTTTATGAAATAACGAAGCCCTTTCGTTCTTAATATGATTGATATTAGTGATTATAACATCTATGTGGTTGCCAATAATGATGTAATAATGACTTCGTTAATTGTATACTCATTAAAGAAAAAGCGCGCCAATAATGTTTACTTATTAGTACCAACGATTCCTAATGAGGTAAAGTTATTATTAAAGTCTCTCTTCTCTCTCTCTCTCTCTCTTTTTAATCTATTATATTAATCTTTTTGTACCAATTAGTTTCAAAATCTGGGAGTAAATGTTATCAGGGGAAAATGGTCTGATGTCGAAGATTTTATAAATATTTTAACATCTGGTAAATTTTGATATATTTTCTTGTATCATTTTTTTTTATCATTTTTTATTTCCTTATACTTTTACAAATTTAGATACAATTGTGGTGATTAGTATGCTTTATCACGATTTCGAAATACAATACAATTTATTTCAAGCATGTATTTATAAACAAATTTCTCTCTTCATAACATTCGATTCAGGTATGGAATTGTGAGTATTCTCGATTTTTTTTTTTTTTCATAAAATTTTACAATTACTGCCACAGAAGTTATAACTTATTCTCGTCTTTTTTTTTTTTTTTTAGAGAACACCACGTAAGAAACAAATCGTGCCCTAGGACTCGTTTACATCAAATGTTAATAGATTATGACTTTGAACGTTTCCAACAACAATCTCCTCCTACTCAATTAACAACTAATTGGATTTTGTTTCAAGTCGGTATTTTTGATATTGAAACGATTCAATTCGATATTTCAACTGTTACTTCAACTTTCAATTCTCCAAATCAGTTCATATTCTTAAATGTAACTGTTAAAGATGATCTTGCTTCGTTAATTGTTGAATCCATAACAAATCCAAATCTTCAAACAAATCGTAATTATGTTGTTGGAGAGTTCATCGCTCATACATTTCTTGGACATATATATCAAGTATTTAACAAAGGAGTTCAATTAAACACAAATTTACCAGCTGACATTAGTGAGTTCGATACATCAAATCAATTAAGATTATCTGGAATCATTTCGGCAAGACCTCTCCCACAGATTATATTTCCTAATTATAATTTACATATTAATAAACTGGCCATGGAATTATCTTTACAATATGGTGCAAACATTTATAAGATCCTTTCAGACCATAAAAGAATTTCTTTAAAACAATGGGTATACAATAGAATCTCAAATCAACAATCGTCATCATAATTTAACTTCTCTCATTATATTCATTATATTATTATAATGAGAAAATACATTCTTTTATTATTTTTTTTTTTATGATAATTTTTATTTTATGAAATATTTTTTCTTTATTTTTTATTTTTTTTTTATGAACACTTTATTTCTTTTTCGTATATTTTTTTATCTTATATTTTTTTTTGTTTTTCATTTTCAACGTACAACGTTTAATCAGTTTAATCTTTCGTTAAACAATTCGTTTTTATTTCTTTCACCGAATAGACATGTATATATGAAAAGCCAACTTGATATTGATATTTATATTGATATTGATTTATCTTAAGGCAATCAATAATACTTTAAACCGTCGGTCAATATTAGATAGATATTCTTTTTTTTTCGTTTTTTCGTCATGGATACGGGGGAAATTATTGTAAAAGAAATTTGATTCTCTTTTTTCAACGAAATTTTTATCGTATTTTTAACGTTTTGTAATTAATTAACTTTTATCGTGTTATATATAATTCTTTTCTTTTTTTTTCGTATAAATAATTTTCATAAGGAAAAAAAAAAAATAAAACATTTTAATAATGTGCTTAATGTGTCCACGAAGCACGAAACAGTCGAAACACGTTCATTTTTTTACTGTAACTTTTTAACGCGTTTAGCGTCACAGGATGTGATGTTAAATTATAAAGAAGGCGTATTCGTCAGGATGCGCGTTAAAAACGGTAGGTTTTTGAATATTTGCCAATACTATACTTGTCGTTACGGCATACGACATATGGAGCTTATGCCGTAATTTAAATACAGAAAGATTATACGATACAAAAAAAAGAAATCCATTCAAAAAATCAACGTTAACATTACAATTTATCTATGGCATTATTGTATTTATGAAAATAATAATATATGCCATATTCAAATTGCTTGAATTAATAATTCGGTAATTACAACGACACGTATAATAAATGTCGCTTTTCTCATAGATAAATGCTATAACAGATGATAACAGATGAGAAAATGCTATAACAGATAAGATATAACGCTATAACTTAAATAATACAACTCTATTGAAACTTGGGTGTTATCTAATACTTGTAAATGGCTATACTAATTTTCGCCCCCTAGTTCCATTTGATTGATCAACATCTGGAATTTTTTGATTTGTAATCATTTGTACTGCACTGTAAATACTGTAAATACTGTAAATACTGTAAATATTGATAAATTGCCAAGAAACCAGTTTTTTTGTACCATACAAACTGTTTATACGATAATCCTGTTATATTCTGTGGTTAGTTTTTGTGCTACACAAATTTTATTGATACGCAAACAAATAATTTTTAATGTATTATGATTATGCCCTTACTAATATAATTTTATCGTCTTATGACAACAAGTCATATTTAGTCATATTTATGAACAAATTAATTTTAATTTTTAATTTAATTCACAAAATGAGTAATAAACAAATCAGACGAGAATGATATCGCAAATGCAAATCCAAATTCGTTATTCAGAATTATGTGGCATTACAAAGATTGTTGTACATTTTGCCGGTTTGGTAATCTATAATGATATAAGATTTTCTTTTTGAAAGTTTTTTAAATATTTACTTTACAAAATTTCAATTAAGCTATATATATTCTTTAGAATAATTATTAGTTTACGGGACTAATCATCAGATAACAGATAATCAGAATTGAATTTTTTCAAAAAAAAATCTCAGCATATTTATATTATAAGAAATATAAGTTCTTAAAAATGGTTTTTAAAATAACCAACTACCGTAAAGACTTTTCTTTACCAAACTATTTACCAGTAAAGAAGTTTTTACTAAATACAATAAAATTATTATTTCAAATAATAAAAATACTTTACCATAAAAAGAGTCCAGTTATTTATGAAGAAATATGGGGTTTTCTTATTCTTTTTCTTTATTTCAAATTATATGTATAGTAAGAAGTATTTACTGTTATACTACTCTATATGTTCAAACTATTTCTTTAAATACTTTTTCAAGTTACTATAGAATTTCTAGTTAAAAAATAGGCATTCTATTTATATAACATTCTGATAGTATACTGTATCTAATGTGATTTTTTCAGTTAAATCCAAATGGAAATCTGCTTTAATTATAACATCTTTATCAACATCTTTATCAACAAGTCAAATTTTATTAACATTACTAATTATTTCAAAAGTAAATTCAAATTAATTGTATAATAAAATTTTATGTAAGATAATAAATATACTTTTTTATTAAATTGATGAATTACTAATTAAAATGTATTTTAACAAATGTAATATATTTTGACAAACATAATTAATTGAATTATAATAAACTCTTTTTAATTATTGTTATAACTTATAACCATTTGTTTGTGAAAAAAAATTTATTATTTCATTAAAAATTTCAGCAAAAATATAATTTTTAACAATAAAAACATGCCTTTCATGGCCTTATAAAAGGTTAGAAATATAGAAAAGTATGGAAAAATTCTTTCACAATATATTGCTACTACTCTTAAAAAAATTTGGATAGACTAACAAAACTGGTATATCTCAAACTTTACAAACTGTCATATCTCTAAAGGAATATAAATACAAAGATAACTTATGAAAACTTTATTTAAATGAATTTGAGAAATTTGGTATAGAAAACAACTCACAGTTTGCGACATTATTATTTTTTGTTTATATTTTTGCTGAAAATTATTATGAAACTGCTAATATAAAGGATAGACTCATAGTACAATCTTTTGAACAATAAACTGCATCTGCAATGTTAACAGAATGTACCAATAATATATCAGTATTATAAAAGATTATCCTAATGGATATGAAAACTTTTGAAAATACTAAGTATCAATTATTGGTCATAATATTCTCTTTATCAACAAAGGATTCTTAGAATTCTAAAAAGAGATTGGATATCAAACCCACTGCTTTTACTTCAAAAGGAAAAAGAATGTAGTTTTATTTGCTAAAATTATCAAGTAGAATATGAGTACTATAAAATACAAATAAAAACATTAAGCATAATACATCTAATTAGCAGAAAAAATCTGATAAGAAAAAAAGTTATATACTGATTAAAAATATTTTTACAGTTATGACTAATAAATATGATTCTTCAACTATAAATAATATTTGAAAAATAATTTTATATAATATTACATCTACCTAAAAATGCAGTATGTAATTGATAATTATTACCTTGTATTGTAATAATAAGAGTTGCAACCTATTACTACTTTTAAAGTTAAAGTATTGTATTACAACACTTATGATTGTTCAAAAATTTCCTTTTTGAAAAATAAAAATTACAAAAATAAGTTTTTATAGAACAAATATCATCATAAAAAGAAATGATTTAATATATTATAATACATATTTGTATAAATGGAAATAATATAATAATTACAATACTAGTAGTAATTATAATAGGACCCTGAATAATATATAAATATGTCAGATTTATATTTGCATAACGATCATAAGAAATATTATTCTCATGTGAGATTTTCATTTGCTTAACCAATAGTCTAATTTTAAATTAGTTAGATTTATAGATGCGTAACAAACTATAAATTTAACTAAACTCAGTTATGAGTTTGCGTAGCAAATACCCAATTTGGCAATTATCATATTTTATATATTTTAAATAATAAAGAAAAATGTTTGATGCATATTAATATCTTCTTTGTCTTTACATCTTATCATTATCTATACATATACATCTTCATCTTTGCATATTTGTTATTTTTATTTTACATATTCACATTTTTTTATGCATATTATGGGTGGTTGGAAATACTCAAAACAACGTTTACAAAAACATCCATTTGTTGCCAAGGTTATACGTGCTAAAAAGGTAATTTGTATATGTGGAGTTGCAATAAAACTTAATAGGAAATATGACGAAGACTATATTAATCGCCATGCAAATGGTCCAGGATGCAAATGAAATGAACAAAAAAGTATTTTGTGTTTTTTTAATTCTATAAAAGCTGATAAAGAAGATGATGATAATGTAGATTCAGATGATGATTAGAATGATTAGGAAAGTGAGGTAGAAGATGTAATAGATGATGATGATATTATTACAGTAGATGAAAATGAGGTTGAAATTAATAATGGAGAAGAAAATGCTAATATAGAGATTATCAGCTCAGCAATTACTAATAAAACTGGTAGAAAAAGAAAGCCATGTTTAGGATTGTGTTCAGATTTAATTGCAAAATATGTTGATAGTAGAGCTCTGAATAGGTTAGGTTAGGTCGAGTAATTGACTTGACCTGACCCAAGTAGGGATGGTAAAGTCCTAGGTCCTGGACCTAAAGACCTGGTCCTAGAACCTGGTCTGCAGATCTTTAGGTCCAAATTTTAGACCAGAAGCGAACCAGGTCCTAAAAAGTCCTAGCCAATAAGGTTATAAGAGATCTATATGTTTAAATTATATATGTATAATTTGCTGTAAATTTGATTTTAAGTAATTATAAATTATAAAAAAGTGCACTGCAATATTGCAATACAATTTTTATATTATTAAAATCATATAAAAAATGAGTTGCGATATTGCGATTCACATTTTTATATTAAAATCAATATAAAAAAGTGAATCGCGATACCGCAACTCACTTTTTTTATATAAAATCAATATAAAAAAGTGAATCGCGATACCGCAACTCACTTTTTTTATATAAAATCAATATAAAAAAGTGAATCCCGATACCGCAACTCACTTTTTTTATATAAAATCAATATAAAAAAGTGAATCGCGATACCGCAACTCACTTTTTTTATATAAAATCAATATAAAAAAGTGAATCCCGATATCGCAACTCACTTTTTTTATATTTAATTATTACAATAACTTGGTCAAGACCAGGTCCGCAGGTCCGTTCAATAGGACTTATAGGTCCCAGGACCAGGACTGACCTAACCATCCCTAGACCCAAGGCAAGTCATGAATTTGGTGATCTGACCCAAATATCACAGGTCAGTTCAGATTAAGGTTGCTTGCCGAAATCTTCTTAATAACTGCCGAAACCTATACGGAAAATGTCGAAACTATATTAAATTATATTAAAAATCCTGCCGAAACTTTGCCGAAATGCCGAAACTCCATTTGTCGAAATTGCTAAAACCCTGCCGAAACTATAGTAAACATATAGTAAAATCTTGCCGAAATTTATCGCAGGATTTTGGAGAGGTTTTGGCAAGCAACCTTAGTTCAGATACCCGACCCAACCTATTAACCTGATATATTTTGGGTCAAAAAAACATTTTAGCGTTTTTTATAATTAAATTATAAAAAAAAATGCTGAACGTTTTTTTTTTACAATTATTTTATGGAAAAGTACTTTTCAGCACTTTTTATTACGCCAAAACGTATTTTTTTTGTTTCTTCTAATGAAAAATGTCAGACCCGACATTTTTAAATTAAAGAAACTTTTTTTGTTTTTTTAAATGAAAAAACGTCAGGTTCGACATTTTTAAATTAAAGAAACAATTTTTTTTTGTTTCTTTAATAAAAAATGTCAGATTCGATGTTTTTTAATTAAAGAAATGATTTTTTTTGTTTCTTTTAATAGAAAACGTCAGGTTTGACATTTTTTAATAAAAAAACATTTTTTTTTTGTTTATTTAATTAAACCTAACGTTTTTAATAAAAAAAGACGTTTTTGTAATTATTTTTAATGAAAAAACGTCGGATTCAGGTCAGTTTGGCATTTTTTTATATATATAAAATGCTGAAACGTCTTATTTTTGACTGAAATATGTTGGGTCAATGGGTCAGGTCAGGTACCTGACTGTGGCTGACCTGACCCGAGGTCGGATTATTAAATCTGCTACCTGACCTGAATTTTTCAGGTCAACCCATCGGATCACCCAATCCATCAGGTCAAATTCAGAGCTCTAGTTGATAGGATACCAGCATGTTATGGTGGAGCTCAGTGTGTTGAAGTAATTGCTAAAGAAATGTATCCTGAAAAATTTTCTAACAAATTTACAAGAAAAAAACTTAAACCATCTCAGAAACGTGCATTAAACCAGAAAATTTATGCAGAATCTCAATGGCATATTGATAAAGATTGTAAGTATTATTATTTATATTTTTGTAATCTTCATCGATCAATTAATGAATATCTTTTCCAAATATTGTTAATAGGTAATGCTGTATGTGCTAAGAAATGTACAGGATATTCTGATTCTGAAAAAATAATTTGTCATGAATGTTATACACTCAAATGCGATCCTATTTTAGCACATCGCCTTACTATACCAAAACCAGCATCCAAAAATCTTAAATTTACACCAAAATTCTATTTCGAGAATAATTCTTTAAAAAAATATTTGCAAAATCAGGATCTTATTGAGATTTGGTCTATTATCAAGGATAATTATGATACAAATATATGGATTACATTAGCAGATAAAGCAAACAAGGGTGCATTTAAAGAAAAATCTGTATTTACAGGACTTTGTGAAGTAATAGTTCAAGCTGCAGTTCGTAAAGATAATAATAAAGGCAAGTAAAATATTCAATATAATGAACATTTTACAAACTTTCTTATTATATTAGGAAGTTTTAGTACTCGGGCTCTTAATCTTTTTCATTAAAATTTAGAAGGACGTACAATTCAAAATATACGGTATTTTTTACTTGCTTATTTATTAGTTAATCTTTAATATTTTTCCCTAAAATAATTAACAATTTTCATAAAATTAGTAAACTTCGAGCTAATAATGAAGACACACTCACAAATTCTAACCTCTCATTTGAAAACGTTGCCAAATTTAAAAGGCTAATTGATACATTAAATTATCGGGGGCCTATTGTTGCTATGTCTGATAACACTAAGTTGAAGCCTGCTCTTCATTATAATCCCGTTTTAGGCTGTATCGTTGGATCAACACTATTAGTTGAACAAACTAAAATTAATGCATACGAAGATATTCAACCGATTATTAATGATATTAAAATAAAAAAAGCAATTGCGAAAGATGTGCGCGCTTATATATTGCAGGTAATTGAGTGGTAATTATTGTTCATTTAAGCAATTACATAACGTAAATGACAAATACTTACTATTCAATTTATTAGATACCATTGCCGAATTTCCCTCCAGTAGTTATTGCATTAATTGCCAATAACAGAACTGATAATAAGTTGATAATAACCAGCTTTCATCAAAAATTGTTAACTCAAATAGCACTGCAACTTAACCTTCCAATTTTATCAATTGGATCAGATGGTGCTATTGTTGAATTTAAAGCTCAAGTTGCAATTCAGTCATATTCAACAGACGAACGGTTAACTTTTAAAATAATAAACTTGGGGTTGATTTCAGCTGCCCAATTTTTCCAAAAGTAGGATCTGTTATTCGCGTACAAGACCCTAAGCACGCAAAAAAAACTGGCCGTAATGCAATTATGTCTGGTGTCCGTCTTCTTACCCTTGAAAGTTCAACTGCATGATTTGAACAATTATTAAAATTGTCAAATCTTTCTAATTCTGTAATGTATCGTTATGATATAATAAAGCTTGACCGTCAAGACGATAGTGCAGCGTATTGTGTATTTTGTTCATGAAATTTACAAAATTGTCATGAAGCTCACGATACTGAAGAAGATATGTGAGGACTTTTTGTATATCTTTTCATAATGGATTAGATAAAAAATAATTTTGTTATAATTATTTAATGGTACTTTTTTTTTATTATTAAATTATAATTTGAAAATTAGGCGAACTTATCGATAGCTACTTAAACCATGAAATAACTCCATTAAAAAGAATTAAAATGTCAATAACATCCTTTTTCTTTTTACGATTTTGGAAAGAATATGTAACAAATATGAGTGAAAAGTATCCTAATTTTATTTCTGTTAGCAAGAACTTTTTAGCTGATCAAAGTTTTGCAATTTTTGTTTCTCTTGTGAAGTCTATGATCTTGTTGGTAAAAGCACATTGGGAATATTACCCAAATTATCCATTTTTACCATAGATGCATGGATCAGAGGCTTGTGAACACTTTTTTGGCATGGCGCGTCAAATTAATTCTGATTTTAATTATTCAGAATTGTTACAATTAGTTCCAAAAATTTCTCAATGTACCAAAGCGTTAAGAACAAAAAATGTTACATTGGAAAAAGAAAAATCAGTTCGTGATGTAAGCAAGCATGCTTTTAGTATTATTGTAATATTAATTATTATCTATTTACTAGTTTTAATGAAAGAAAGTAAAAATTACTATTAGTTAACCAATTATAAATCTTCCTTCCCTTATATTTCTTTCAAATAGGTTACCATTTTAACTACAATATCGGAAATATTAATTCAAGCAAGTTAGCAGAATTATGTGCTTGGCCATCAGACAAGGATATTACTTCAGCTGTTAAACATTCTTACAAATTGGCGTCTGAACTTGCTAAAGCACTTGATATGGAACCTACTTCAAATATGAATCATTCACTATTACTGCCATTTGTAATGATAGATGATTAAAATTTGGAAGTATCAACTGGAATTAAGCCAACTTTGGAACTGGAAAATGATTCAAATGAATTCTTTGAAATCGATAGAGAAATTTCTGATGCAATTAGTCAAGCATCTAAGCATACTACTGAAAGAATTGATGATATTCTTGATTTATCGAACATTAAGAATGTTGATGATCAAATTCAGCAAACCCAAGTTATTTCATCTTTAGATAATATGAGAATAATTAATAATAAGCAACTTATTCATGGTATGAATTTTTCTTTTAATTATATTACTATATTATCAAAGTTTTTAATAGTATATTATTAAGTATTAACATAATCGTGAAAGATTCTTCTATTAGATATATTTTTCCAACAGAAGAGTTGAATTATTTGGTTATGATTAAATTACGAAGGAATCATGAAGCATATAATTCAAGACCAATTGAAAGACAAAATCGTACATATATGATTGGTCATGAAAACACAAATACTATTAATCCAAATAGGGCTAGTCATATAATTTCACATCTTACGAATAATGATGATCCGGCAGTATGATTTATTAAACAACGTGAAAAGCGATGGAAAGAAAATTGGAAGGCAATGACAGCTAATCTTGCAAGTTTACATAAATTTGAATTATCAAGGCAAAGACAAACTGATAAAGTTACAAATAAAAGTAAATATAATGTTAATCATGTAATTTATTTATATAATTTTTAATATTAATAATTTATTATTTAATTTAGTTATATGTGTTGAATCGGCAAATATTACTCAAGATTTTCCATTGCAACAAAGTGACTATGTAATTGCATTGTATGGGACAAAAATTTGTATTGCTAAAATAATAGCAATGTATTATGAAGGTTATGGTAACCATTGTTATAGCCAAAATGCAGTAACTCCAATTGAAGATTTGTCTTATATTTCATTACAAGTATATTTGCCCATTCATCTCAATATTTTTGCAAGTCAAACTGTGAAAGGTTATACACTATTTACTCATCAGTGTCCTCAAAATATTATATATCATATTAATTTAAATGGAGTAATAATTGGTTATAGTTCACTAATTTTAACAGGAGTAGTACGTAGTATTTTTAATTATTTTAACCGTGATACTATTAAAAATAGCATTATTAATATGATACAATAATGTCAATTTATCAATAAAGTAATAATATAAATAATTAAAATTAGCAAGAAATTTTTTTTAATTTTACAAAGTCATAAAATAAATTGCTTAGTAGTGCAAAAAATTTTAATGTTACAATTTGAGTTTGCTTAGCAGAATGAAAATAATTTGCTTATTGATCTTAGTAAATTTTGAAATTTTCATCTGACCTATATATATATTGTTCGGGGTCCTGGTATGTAGAATAACAAAATTTTGAAAATACGTTGTAATATGCAACTTTTGAAAAATTTTAATATAAACTTTATATAAACTCAAATATGAGTTGTATTAGTATTGTTCAGAGTCCTCCTCTTACCCTCTTTTAAATCAGCTAATTTCTAGTATACTCTTTAAACTCTGCTTATTTTTTTATTTATAAGGATGTAAATATTATTAATACAATTTTTCATTTTCATTAAAAAGTTTTTTATGGTAATGATTCCATAATACCAATAAAAATATATTATCAAGTTCTTTAAATATGTAACTCTTTTAGTTTTTCTTTTAATAATTCTGCACTAATAATATTGTCTTTTATAATAATGAATCTTTAAAAATTGCTTATATAGCCATCATCAACCAGAGCAGAAATAGTAGCTATTTTCTTAGCATTGTTGACAGCACCAGAAAATTCCAATGTAACTATTTATATAGACAGCTTAGGTGCTATAAATTCAATTAATTTAGCTTTTAATTTAACAACTAGAATATGACTTAAAAAGACTAATAACTTAATCATTATTAAAATAATTATGTTGATCAGAAAAGCAAATATAAATTTAAAGCTGGTTAAAATAAAAGGTCATAGTGGCATAATAGGTAATGATATAAGGACCCCGGATATCTAATATAAAGGTCATAATGGACTTTTGGCCAAAAACACCCCTTTTTGCTGAAACTCAAAAAATCGTTTTTTGTAAATATCTCAGCATCCAGT